AGACAACACATACATGGCACCCAGAATAGCATCAAAGTTAAGAGCATAGATATCAAGAGCATAGATCAGCCCAGCGGGGCAGCTCAGTGGCACCAGGAAACTGGGTGCGACAGGCGTCGTCTAGGCGGGAGAAGCAGCGCTGCGTGGTGTGCGCCCTCCCACACGTGTGACCAGTGCGGTCACCTGTGCGGATGACGTACGTGCAGCTAAGGCCACCCCCCCCCCCCATGCTGAGAGTACCACTCACGAAGCTCCTGGGGCGACAGAGTCTGCTGCTGGCGCTGGCCACCACCAGTGCCTCCACGACCTCCACCGCCTCCGCCACCACCTCGACCACCACCGCCCCTGCCGCCACCACGTCCACTGCCGCCCCCACCACCGCCCCCACCCCGGCCACCTCCTCCGCCGCTGCCGCCACCACCCCCGCTGTTGCCACTAGCCCCTCCTGCCCCGCCACCACCCCCACCGCCGCCACCGCCCCCACCACCGCCTCCCCCGCCGTCACCACCACCTCCCTTGCCCCCTTTGCCCTTGCCGCTGCGGCGCCCACTCGGAGTGGACGCAGTCCCGACCTGCTCAGCACCTAGGAGGTCGACAGTAGCAGCAGAGGCGACAGAGGGGAGAAGGGGGGAAGGGGAACACCCCTCGAAGAAAGGGGTGTGGGGGTCGCCACGAGAGGTACCTACAGCGACTATGCTAGCCTCAGCTGCAAGCAGTTCCTTCTCGAGCAGGGCAACGATGAGCTCAGTGGGGCAGCGAGCGAGGAAGTGGTCCCTGACCGCATGAAGAGAGCCAGGGAGACGGGTGACCAGGTGGTAGAGAGTGAGCCACAGCGGGGGGGGGGTTCTTGGCAAGAAACTCAGCGGGCATAGCGGCACGGAAGCGGGCCTCACTAGTGCGGAGGTGTGTGATGAGGTCTGCGACTGTGGAGAAAGCGGACAGGTCTGGGAACAGGTAGGGGAGCGAGAGACGGCTTAGCGCAGCAGAGGCAGGTGAGGAGTAGCGTGCAACTACAGTAGTGTACAGTGCTTGCGCAGTCTTGTGCTGGCCAAAGTGCTCGCGCTCATCTATTGGCAGGGAGTTGCGAATAGCGAAGCGAGTGTGGGCGTCACGAGTCTGCCACTGTGAGCGGGCAGTGCTGCCAGCAGTAGCAGCAGGGGCAGCAGCGTGTCCTAGCGCGTGATCGTACAGTGAAATATCCTCCTTGGCAGTGAGCTGAAGGAACAGGTGCAGGTCATCGAGCCAGGTGTCAAATTTCAGTGGGCGGCCCTCAGCATCGAAAGCGAGCACAGCAGGGCTAGCCATAGTTGCAGTAGGAGCAGTAGTGGCGGCTGTAACAGCAGTAGTGTCAGTAGCAGTGACAGCAGCAGCAGCAGCGCGGCTCGGTAGGGCGGCGCGGCTCGGTACGGCGGCGCGGCTCTAGCAGGGCGGCGCGGCTCGGTGGGGCGGCGCGGCTCGGCTGGGCGGCGCGGCTTGGGTGTGGCAGGGCGCTAGCGGGGCTGCAAGGGCAGGGCTGCGCGGAGGGAGGCACGCGAGGGCGTGCAGAGTGGGGCGGGGCCTGGTCTCACGGGGCACGCTAGGGTGGGCTAGTGGGGCGGGGCCAGTTCTCGAGGGGCACGCAAGGGCGCGCGGGTGGGGCAGGGCCGGTCGCACGGGGCACGCAAGGGCGCACTAGGAAGGGCGGGGCCGGTTCGTGAGGGGCGCGCAAGGGCACGCGGGGCAGCTAGCGCGTGGGGCCGTACGAGGCACGCAAGGGCGCGCGCGTGGCAGGCGACGCGCGTGGGGCTGCGCGGGTCGCACGCTAGGGCGTACGAGGAGGGCGGGGCCGATCGCGCGGGGCACGCTAGGGCGTGCGGGCTGGGCGGGGCCGGTTCGCAAGGGGCACGCGAGGGCGCGCTACGATGCAGAAAAGAGGAGGGCGCTCGAGGGCGCGACTAAGCGAGGCGCGCTCGGGCGCGACTAACGGAAACGGTGGGCCCTATCAGTTGGTCCTAGGTTACGACCTAGGCTCGTAATACCATGTTAGAAACTAAGAACGAACGAGAATGATGAAACTAGGCAGCAGGGTGATACAAGTAGGCAACCCTAACAATGTTGTACCCCCTAAGGCTAAACCCACTATAGCCTACACAATATAAACATATATAATGTTTGACACCCTCCCTCCCCCCCGTGCTGCTCATTGCTCCCATCCCGCCGTACGTTCCACGGTGGTGGGGGTGTGGGGTGGCGAGCATGGGGGTGAGAGGTGTGGGTTCTCCCCTCCTCCATTTTCGTCTCCCACTGCTGCAGCTGCCGCTGAGGGGGGTGGAGGTGTGGGAGTCGTGGGGAGGGGCACTAGGGGGGTGATGTGGGAGTGGAACTAGGGGTGAAGCAGGGGGTGTGTGACAGGGGTGTGGGGCAGTTGGGGGAGGTTGATCGGAGGTCGCCGTCGTGTCGCCAGCAGCGCCAGCAGTCCGGAGCCCTTGCTCTCGGTAGCCCAGTGAGCCTGCTGCGCCAGTCGCCCGTGGGTCCGTTACTCCTGCCCCTCGTCGTAGCCGCGGAGTCTGTTACTCCAGTAGTCCGGGGCCCTTGCTCCGGTAGCCACTGTGCCAGCCGCTTCTGTTGCCCGTGTGTCTGCAGCTTCAGCCGTCGCCTCCAATCTACACTCCCCTCAATGTCACTCCTCCTCCTCACTGGCCTCCTGTGACTGCCTCTAGCTTTGCTCATAATTGTGAACTTCTGCTATGCCTGCTCATTGTGCTGATTTCACCCCACTTTGGCTATGGGGGTGTGTCAGAATATGTTGTTTGTGTAGCCTGCAGTGGGGTACTCAATAGTGAGTACAGCCCCTTAGGGTTTGCTATTTGTATCCTGCTGCTTGCTAGTTCAATCATTCCTTCTCAATTCTGTTCCTGCACACAATCCTAGCTCGTACTTGGTGCCTCCTTTCGTAGTCCTACTGTGGCCTAGGCTACTAAGCCTAGGCCGTACTCCTAGTATATTTGACAACGACTACATTCTGCTCATTGTCTACGTGGACGACCTGCTCTACATCGGCTCAACTGACAACGTCACCACCTGGTTCGAAGGGGAGCTGCAGCAGGATCTCACTCTCACAGTATCATCGACCGTCACGCAATACCTCGGCCTCAACATTCAGGAAGAAGAAGACGCAATCTACCTCAGCGCCGCGAAATACGCCAACACCATCGCTAAACGCTTCGCACTCACACCGACCACCATCTCTACGCCATATCGCCACGCGGCAGGAAACAACAAGGATCCACTCCGCTAAGACCCGCCGGCATACGCGACTACCAAAGAAAGCTAGGCTGCCTTCTCTTCGCAGCCGTCACTTGCCGTCCGGATCTATCGTATTCTGCGAGCCAACTTGCCACCTACCTCAAAAGGCCTGAAGCAGAACACATGGCGGAACTCGACCGCGCTCTTCACTACCTCGTTAGCACTCCGACGATCGGCCTGACTTATCACAAGAACGGAACGTCGACACCTAAATTAATCGGCTACGTCGACGCCGATCACGCTGGCGACTCTGACAACAGGCGCTCGCGCACCGGCTATATCTACCGACTCGAACCTATCGGACCCATCTCGTGGCAGTCGAGCAAGCAGGAGTTAATCGCCCTCTCTTCAGCTGAAGCAGAATATATCGCACTTTGCTCAGCCACCAAGGAAGGACTATACCTTCGCGAACTCCTGGAGGAAGCCAAGCTAGCCCAGTTACCGAACTTCACCCTGTTCTGCGACAACCAGTCGGCCATTCGCATAGCCAACAAGAACGGCTTCGCGAACAGGACGAAACACATCGCCCTGCGATATTTCTTCGTGAAGGACGAGATCGAGAAGGGGAGACTCGAGCTGTCATATTGCCCCACATCCGAGATGGCAGCTGACTACCTGACCAAGAAGCTCGGAAAGCAGAAGTTCGAGTACTGCATGCTGCTGACTGGACAGAGCCACGTCACCAGCAGCGACACTCCAGAAGCGAAGGGGAGTGTTGGAAACAATTAACTCTAAGCGCCTCTGTCGTGTCGAAACACCAAGTCAGAAGCGAAACGAAGCATATCGAAGCACTGGCGAGTCAACCCTCGGAGGTTGAGCAGTTGCTGGAGGTTACACGAAAGTCAAAGGTCAGCGACCTTTGACCTGACAAATACAGCGCGACAGCAAGGACACACAACTGACTCGTTACAGAGCAGTTGCCCGAGTCGTCACTGTATCGAACCGCAACAGCAACAGTAAAACAGTTGGAACCGTATCTCTTCGCATTCCTTGTACTCATATAATCTTGTATCTCTTTGCTTTAATCAATTCACTTTGCCCTCACATACCAGCGCAAGGTGGTTCATAACTCTTCATTAAAATGCTTCCGCTATTACAACAAGTCCTACCCAGAGTTCAGCCCTGCAAAGATCCTAAGGGCTTTTTCTCAGCCCAACACTAAAAACGGAGCAATTCCAAATCACTTCTTTGAGCTCCAAAACTACATTCTTATAAATGTCAATATGAACAGACCCGGGTCTTCTAAAAAATATACCATTTAATTATTACCCCCAGCCTTTTTAGGGCTGATTCTCATAAGACCCTAGGATCTTATATACGGGGGATTACGGTACTTGCATCCATGAACCTAAATCCCCAAAATGAGGAAAAATGGACTAGAATGGTGGTGGTGCTAGGCTGGTGCAACAACAATGCCTTCAGTTCTACGAACGATGGCTTGGGCTTGGGCAGGATGCGAAGCTCAGCAGCATGCCGGAATGTATGCTCTAATGTATGCCTGTCTGTCGTGCACCCTGCCCTGCTCCCAAATTGGTTCATCCTTCCTACGGTACGCTGGGTTAACCCTATCAGCTTCGGCCCCAGTTACCCAGTATGGATAGCCGCCTCTTTTGGGGACCAACCACAGCCCTTGCTCCAACCAACTTTCCCCCAGTCCTGAAACATGTGAACCGTCAGTACCAGTAGAAGAGTCTTGGAAGGCCATGGGTTCATCATCATCTGACGGGCTTGGAGTCGATCTCCTCTGCCCTGGGCAGCATCTTTGCCAGAGTCTCAATGTACCCTGCCTCCTTGGCCTGCCAGCAGTGCATGCACGTGTGTTCAAGGAGAGGGGGGAAGGGGATGAGAGGAGAGGAGAGGGCTTGGCTTGCGGTCTCAATGGGCTTAGAGTCGATCTCCTCTGCCCTGGGCAGCATCTTGGTGAGAGTCTCAATGTACCCTGCCTCCTTGGCCTGCATGCAGTGCATGCACGTGTGTGTTGCAGGGAGGGGAGCAGGGAGGGGGATGAGAGAACGGCTTGGGCCTCAGTGTACCATGCTTCTCTGCAGTGGTGCCTTTGTGAGTGTATGGTTGTCAAGATAAGAGGTGATCGAAGGAGAAGGGATGAGTGCTGAGAGGGGTTGCGCTCTCAGCCTCGCCACTCACACAGGGGTTGCGCTCTCAGCCTCGCCACTCACACAGGGGTTGCGCTCTCAGCCTCGCCACTCACACAGGGGTTGCGCTCTCAGCCTCGCCACTCACACAGGGGTTGCGCTCTCAGCCTCGCCACTCACACAGGGGTTGCGCTCTCAGCCTCGCCACTCACACAGGGGTTGCGCTCTCAGCCTCGCCACTCACACAGGGGTTGCGCTCTCAGCCTCGCCACTCACGCAGGGGTTGCGCTCGAGGTAGAGTGTGACAAGCGACGCCTTGGGCCCCTCCAGAGCGGCCATGAGCTGCGAGAGCGACTTGATGCGGTTGTCGTTCAGCCACAGGTCCTCGAGCCTGGCGTGGGCATGGGGTGATGGATGGGGGAATGGGGGCAGTAAGTGCTGGTGGTGAGTGCAGGTGGTGAGTGCAGGTGGTGAGTGCAGGTGGTGAGTGCAGGTGGTGAGTGCAGGTGGTGAGTGCAGGTGGTGAGTGCAGGTGGTGAGTGCAAGTGGTGAGTGCAGGAAGCACGTCCAGAGCGGCCATGAGCTGCGAGAGCGACTCGATGCGGTTGTCGTTCAGCCACAGGTCCTCGAGCCTGGCGTGGGCATGGGGTGATGGATGGGGGAATGGGGGCAGTAAGTGCTGGTGGTGAGTGCAGGTGGTGAGTGCAGGTGGTGAGTGCAGGTGGTGAGTGCAGGTGGTGAGTGCAGGTGGTGAGTGCAGGTGGTGAGTGCAAGTGGTGAGTGCAGGAAGCACGTCCAGAGCGGCCATGAGCTGCGAGAGCGACTCGATGCGGTTGTCGTTCAGCCACAGGTCCTCGAGCCTGGCGTGGGCATGGGGTGATGGATGGGGGAATGGGGGCAGTAAGTGCTGGTGGTGAGTGCAGGTGGTGAGTGCAGGTGGTGAGTGCAGGTGGTGAGTGCAGGTGGTGAGTGCAGGTGGTGAGTGCAGGTGGTGAGTGCAAGTGGTGAGTGCAGGAAGCACGTCCAGAGCGGCCATGAGCTGCGCGAGCGACTCGATGCGGTTGTCGTTGAGCCACAGGTCCTCCAGGCTGGCGGGCCATGGGGTGGCGATGGGCGTGAGGCGGTGAAGGGGCGAGGGGATGAGGGGATGAGGGGCAAGGCAGTGAGGGGCATGAGGGGCAGTGCGTGCGATTGACGTTGGGGCGCAGGTGGTCCAGGCTGGCGTGACATGGGATGAGCGCCATGGCATGGATAAAGGCACCCAGGTGGATGAAGGCCGACACAGTGAGGGGGATGAGGGGATGAAGGGAGGTATCATGCTACGTGCCAAGCAGCGATGGTGCCAGCAGTAGCCAGGCTAGAGACGTGTCAGAACCGCCAGGCTAGAGACGTGTCAGAACCGCCAGGCTAGAGACATGTCAGAGTAGGCAGGTCCAGAACAAAAGAGCAGTGCGGCAATCTCAGCTAGTGCGGCAATCTCAGCTAGTGCAGTTCACGACGCCCCTGGTGAGTGCCGCACACAGCTGGCGAGGGTATGTGGACCTAATAAGATAGGGGAGGACGCACCTACAGCTGACAAGCACCTACACCTCACAAGGGGGGTGGTGTGGAGTGGTGCAGCAAGAAGAATCATCTATCGACTGAACGAAGCGTGACCAGTGAGGGTGAAACACCCATTGGGTGATCGAAGCAAACCTGGTGAGGGTGTTTACCCTACACGGTAAGGGTGTTTAGCCCACCTGGTGAGTGTGTCTAGCCCACCTGGTGAGGGTATCTAGCCCCTGCACGTGGGAGATGGCATTAGCAGCGAGGTCCAGGATGCGCAGGGTGGTGAGCGCCTCAAGCCCCTCCATCACACTGATGCCGTTGTTGCTCAGATACAGCTCCTGCAGCCGCGTGCACGACTGGTGGTGGTGGTGGTGGGGGGGTGGGTGGGGAGCAAAGGGAGGGAGGGTTATAGAGGTAGGATGAAGGCCGGTGGCGAGAAAGGCAAGGCACGCCTCCCTTGCACTGTCGCCGCTGTTGCTGTGATACAGTACAGCAGCTTCTTTGCTCTGCGATACAGTACAGCGGCTTCTTTGCTCTGTGATACAGTACAGCGGCTTCTTTGCTCTGTGATACAGTACAGCGGCTTCTTTGCTTCCGAAAGGGTGACTCATCACGAAGGCCGGCAAACAGGGAGGTAAGTGGGTTGCTCTGCTCTGCAGCACGCTCTCGCACCTCCGATCCGTGTCGCTTATGCACCATGCATGTGAGTCGGTTCCTCTGCACACTCTCGCCTGTGGTTGCTCGCAATCTCGCAATCGCTCCGCACCTCCAATCCGTGCTGGTTGCGCACCTCGAACCCGTGCCTGTGGGCGCGTCGGCTGCGCTGCTCTGCACGCTCATCTTCACCCGCTACTACCCGCTCGTTTATGCGCTCACACACTCACACGCTCAGCCTTGCACCCTCACACACACTGTCTCACTCCCACTCGCGCACCTCGAATCCGCGCATGCAGGTGAGGCGGTTGCTCTGCACGCTGATTTTCACCAGCGCTGTGAGCCCCGCCACGCGCACCTCCCTGATCTTGTTGCGCCCCACCCACAGCTCCTCCAGACATGACAGGTGCGACAGGCTCTCCATCTCCTGCGAGAGGCACAGGAAGGGTGGGTGGGTATGGCAAGTGAGGGCGTGTGGGGGGGGAAGGGGAGCCCCTCCACGCGCACCTCCCTGATCTTGTTGCGCCCCACCCACAGCTCCTCCAGGGCCGACAGGTGCGATACATTCTCCATCTCCTGGCAGTGCATGGGGAAGGAAGAGCGTATGAGGGGCGTGGGGAGGGCGTGGGATGGACTTTTAAGAAAAAGAAATTTCTTCCAAGGCGGACAAACAAGGGATAGAGCATGAGATGGGGCAGGCAGATGAATGAGTGTGGGCAGATGAATGAGTGCGGGCAGATGAATGAGTGCGGGCAGATGAATGAGTGCGGGCAGATGAATGAGTGCGGGCAGATGAATGAGTGCGGGCAGATGAAAGGACTCCCTCTTTCTCGGTCAATGGTGCGCCCAGCCCAGCAGCCTAGGGTCAGTTCCTGGACGTGTTCATGCATGCCCACGTGAAGTCACCTGAATTGAGATTTTTTACCTCACACACGCTGATCGTATACAACCTTGCCTCACCTCCCAACCCATCTCTCCCTCCCCGACCTTGCTGAAACCCGGCTCCAGCAGCCTCAGGTGAGGTGAGACAACACCTACGGTACATGAATGCGCCGCACCCAATGCGGTTGTTGGCCAGGCAAGGTACAGCTTGCGCACATTGGGAGGAAGGGGAAAGGGGAGAGGGAAGGAGAAAGGGGGGGGGCGGCCTCCCTCACCTTAATGCACCTCACTGCACGCTGAGCTTGCCCCACCGCATCTCACCCCACCCCACCCCACCCCACCCCACCCCACCCCACCCCACCCCACCCCACTCCAGCTCATCCCCCGCCCCGCCTCACCGTAATCTTGTTGGACCCAGCTCCAGTAGCCTGAGCTGCGTGCGTGAACCCCTATAGTGTCTCGATGTGGCCCATGCGGTTGTCTGTTGGCCAGATACAGCTCGCGCACGTTTAGCGGGAGGGGTAAGGTGGAGGTGACCTGTCTCACCCTGCTGCACCTCACTGCATCCTCCTGAGCTTGCCCCACTGCATCTCATTCCCCACCCCACACACCCCACACTCACCCGTATTTTATTCGACCCCAGCTCCAGCAGCCTCAGCTGCGGTAACCCCTCCAGGGCCTCAATGTGTCCGATGCGGTTGTTCGCCAGGTGCAACTCGCGCAGAGCGGGGAGGGGACTTACCGTGCTGCACCGCACTGCACCATGACCCTGCCCACCCCCTGTCTCACCCTTATCTTGTTGGACCCCAGCTCCAGCAGGCGCAGTTGAGTGAAGCCCTCGAGCGCCTCGATGTGCCCGATGCGGTTGTTCGCCAGATACAGCTCGCGCAGAGCGGGGAGGGTGGAGGCCGCCAGGGGCGCCATGGCGTGAATGTGATTGTAGGAGAGGTCGAGGAGTGAGAGGGCGGTGAGGGGGGACACGAGCGGCACCTTCTTCAAGAGGTTGTCCCTCAGTACGAGCTCCTGGGGATGATGGGAGGGTGAGCGGGTGAGAGGGTGAGAGAGGGGTGCCAGGCATGGCGTGGATGTGATTGTAGGAGAGGTCGAGGAGGGAGACCGCAGTGAGGGGGGACACGAGGGCCACCTTCTTCAAGAGGTTGTCGCGCAGTACGAGCTCCTGAGGCGGGTGGGAGGGAGTGGGTGGATGGGAGGGTGGCGTGGATGTGATTATATGAGGGGTCGAGCAGGGAGGGGGCTGGCATGGAGGAGAGGCAGGGCACCTTCTTTAAGAGGCTGTTCCTCAGTACGCGCTCCTGAGGCGGCGGGTGAGGAGAGGAGAGGTGGGGGAGGGAGGCAGGGGGACGGGAGGGAGAGGAGGGAGGGGAAGGGAGAGCGATTTTATGTTAACAGGCCGTCTCGCAGCACGAGCTCCTGAAGGGGGTGGGGGGAGGGGTGGGGGAAGAGAGGCAGCGGAGAGTGGGTGAATTGTTATTCAGAGCGGAGAGGTGCAAGGGAGCGACGAGCAGGGCGTGCGGAATTGCGGGAGGAAAGGGGGGAGGGTGCGGGGCAGCTGGCGTGGATGTGGTTGGTGTGAGGGTGCGGGGCGGCTGGCGTGGATGTGGTTGGTGTGAGGGTGCGGGGCGGCTGGCGTGGATGTGGTTGGTGTGAGGGTGCGGGGCGGCTGGCGTGGATGTGGTTGGTGTGAGGGTGCGGGGCGGCTGGCGTGGATGTGGTTGGTGTGAGGGTGCGGGGCGGCTGGCGTGGATGTGGTTGGTGTGAGGGTGCGGGGCGAGACGGCGGGGAGGGCAGGGCCGATACGCAGGGCAGCTCGTTCAAGAGACCACTGCGTGACGTGGCGCTGCACGAGCTGCTGCGGGGTGGGAGCGATGGAGGGCGTGGCGCGGGGGGAGTGGCGCGGGGGGAGTGCCGCGGAGGGAGTGCCGCGGGGGGGGTGAGAAGGATGAGAGGGAGAGGGAGGAGGAGAGGAGGGAGAGGAAGGAGAGGGGAGAGAGCGGCGAGGGGGGAGAGAGGAAAGATGGGGAGAGGGGGAAATGCGAGGGCTCTGGCTCCCCGCTGATCACGATTACACGCATCCACACCGTCCGCTCCAACAGCCACGACGGTTAGGGGTGACAGGGGTCTGAAACCTCACTTTCAGTGACGTCAGCCGGGTCAAATCCTTCAGCCCCGCTGCAGCGGCATCCGTTATAAGGTTCTTTCGAAACGACAGCTTCTCCAACCGCTCCAGGTCACCGATCCGCGGGTCCAGCGCGGCGAGGCGGTTGGTGGTGAGGTCCAGATCGGTGAGAGTCGGTGGGAGGGGGATGCCGGCGAGGTCCTTGAGCTGGTTACCAGTGAGGTCCAGCACTTCGCCGTCGTCCGACAGGTACATGTTCAGCTGCGTCGCACGGCCCTCGGGCGTGTCGTCGTCGTCGTCACCAGCATTTTCGTCGCCGGGGTTTCCATCGCCGGCGACGTCGTCGCTCGTCTGCGGCTGCGACGCGTCGGGAGTGCGACGAGTGTCGCCATCGTCGCCGGTAGGGTCGTTATTTGGCATTTCGATAAGGTGGAGCTGCGACGAGGACCCCGACGGTAGAAGACCTATTAGAACTACCTCAGTCGCTAACACTGACCTAAACGGGCGTGTTTGTTGGATGGAATAACAGGAACAGAATCGTAGGATGCGGAAAAAGGCAACTGACGTATTCCCGCAGCGCGAATGGCACGAAATCAGCGGCGGTGAGGAAGTTCGGAGAGAGACGCGACGAGATCGAACGGCGGTGCTTGGAGTGAGTGGAGACGATGCAGGTGAAACATGGAGCAGGGCTGCTCGAAAATGCTTCTCGAAACGTCTGGCGAACGGCTTTTTTGGTCAAGAAGGCCGGTTCGCAAATTTCTGGCGAACTTGGTAACCTCTCTTCTTGAGGCGAGATTCGCAATTTTGTCGGTAACCACATGTCTCGCCTGGGTAACCATCCTCAACCGAGCTTTCAGCTCCCTTGCATGCTCGCTTCGTCCCTCCACCTCAACCGCAACTCCCTTCCCAAGCTTTCACATCTCTGATATGCCACACTGCTACCTGGTCGTTTGAAGAACATGGCCCGGTCAATTCGAACTGCGATCTCATTTTCCCAGTGCGTGTTTGCAAATGCAATCTTTTCGGGCAGCACCATGCGGCTGCCCGAAATTAAGGTTGGGGCTCCCCGTGTTTAGGGTTGGGGCTCCCCTAATCGCATGCCATCCAGATGGGGTTTATTTTTTTCTGACCACGGGCAGATTACGACCCCTCAGCTTCTTCCAGTGGGGATTGCATTTGCGAACCGCGCTGGCTAAATTGGATTGCAGCTGAAGTTGTCCCAACATGGCCAGACTTCTCGAGGCATACAGGTTTCTCAATGAGGTGCAATCGTCAAGCCGGCGGTCGACGGACCGCACAATGGCCGTTACGAGCGACCCGTTGCGGGCCGTCGTGATGCTCCGCGGGGTTCATTGGTGAAAATGCGATCCGGCTGTCGCTGCAGTCGTTCAACGCCTTCTATTCGCAGAGATTCCGCGTTTCGGTGTCGCCTCGTGACGAGCTCGCGAACACGTGTCGTCTCTCTCCAAGTTTGCGCGTTTCAGTGTCGCCTCGAGACGAGCTCGCGATTGCCAAGGAAAGAGCAACTGTCAGCTCGTCTCCCGTGACGCTTCCGCTGCAGCGAGAAGGTTTCTGCAGCAGCAGCGTGGCCGCAGCACGAGGGCGTCAGGCCCGTTCCCGAGCCGCTGCAGTGCCGCCGCGCGCTGAACCAGCAGCGACTATCAGCATAGTCGCGACGGCGACGGTGGCGACTCTCGCCGTATCGTCGTCCTTGCCGCGCTCGCCGCCACCTTCTTGCCGCTACCTGCCGCCACCTTCTCGCCGCCACCTGCCGCCACCTTCTCGCCGCCACCTGCCGCCACCTTCTCGCGACGGGCTGCCATCGTCATGATGGCCGCCTCCGAGGCCAGTCGCTCGCCGCTGCGGCTCCTCTCCTCCTCTGCCCGCGGCGAGTCGTTCGCCGGCGCTTGATCGGTCCCCATCCGTTCCCCGCGCAGCATCTGCGCCACCTTCCGCGTGCGCGTTTCTGACAGCCTGCCAGCGCCCATCACAGCCGAGGGGTCGTCCCGGCAGCAGGCATAATGCGGGGAGCGCTGCGGACCCCGCAAACGCGGAGTGGGCGGGCTGGTTGCGGATATGCGCACGCACGGAAAGCCATTTCGTGATAGAAGAAGTGTTTTGAGACGTCTCAAAACACTTCCTTTATCCGTGGAAGTCAATATGCGGACCGCCAATACGCGGGCGGCCACGGCGCTCACGGCGACTGGCAGGCCGCAGCAGCAGCAGTGGCGCTCTCACGGGTGATGCAGCTGCAGATGGGCGCGCGGATAGGGGGGTGGGGAGGAAGGTGGGGGTGGGGGTGGGCGCGGGGGAACAAGCAGGGGGAGAGGCAGGCATCATGTTTGCCGAAGATGTGACGTGGTGCAGGCTGGCAGGCAACCACATGCAGCTGGTGAGTGTAGCAGGAGTCATGCCTTTTGAGCTGATGTTGTTCGCTCTGACGTGGCGCGTGCTGGGGGCTCGCGTGGCACATGCGAGTGCCGCGTGTGAGTGAGTGTGGACAAGGCGGCAAGGCGATGGCGAGGGGAGGCGAGACCATGCGGGCACCTGTCCACCCCTCGCGTGTGCGTGAATGCCCTCATGGCTTGGCCCTCTCACCTCCACCGAAGGAACACCACTTATCGGTGGTGGGAGACATCGCATGGCTGCAGATTCGGAGTTGTTAGCATGTTCAGAAAGTAGATAGGCTTGTGAAACCGCCGCCACTCGCGCGCGCGTAACTGCCCTGCCCTCACGGCTTGGCCCTCTCGCCTCCACCGATGCTCGAGTTAAAGGTTGCCTTGTATGGCACGACCATGTTGCCCGCACAGCCATTGTGCATTCATTGCAGCACCGTTCTCTAATTCGCTTGCTTGAGCCTGGACTGATCATGCCAGAGCGTGGGGTGCGTGTGGCAGGAGGCAGTAGGGTTAGCGACTGCAGTCTGATGAGTCACTCTCTTCATTGCACCACCTGACGAGACTCCTCTGGTTGCTCATGCTTCACTGGCGAGCAGCAGATGCTGCCGCTCCTGTCGTTTCAGCAACCCATGCCCCTGCGTCCCTGCTGCAGGAAACGGAGCCCCGCGCATCACAGCGACGGGACTGTGGCACAGGACGGCTCAGGACGGCTCAGGACGGCTGAGGACGGCTCAGGACGGCTCAGGACGGCTCAGGACGGCTCAGGACGGCTCAGGACGGCCCAGGACGGCTCAGGACAGCTCAGGACGGCCCAGGACGGCTCAAGACGGCTCAGGACGGCTCAGGACGGCTCAGGACGGCTGAGCGGACTTCCGCACTGTGAAGGTGTGTGAGGGATGGATGGGGATGGGAGAGGTGTGGAGATGGCAAGAGGACAAAAAGGGAAGGGGGGAAGGGGGGAGAGGGGGGGGGGAGGGATGAGGGAGAGAACTTGAACGGATGGGGAAGAAGGCATAAAGGTGTTCAACGCGTTGGGATGAGATAGGTAATGTGCTGCGCCTTTCCTCTCCACTGCCCCACCTCCTATCTCTCGCTTTCTCCTCTCCCAATCCATTTCCTCTCCCTCCGCCACTCCTCTCCCACCTTCCCTCTCTCCCCCCCTCTTCTTCCCACCACTCTCCTCTCCATCCGCCCCTCCTCCCCCACACCCTCTCCTCTCACTCCCCCTCTCCTCTCACTCTCCCCCTCCTCTCACTCCCCCCTCCTTTACTTCCCCGTCTCCCCTCACTCCACCTCTCCTCTCACTCCCCTTCTTTTCTCCCTCCCCCTCTTTTTCCCCTCAGCTGTAGACGCGTCTGGTGTTGCAGCAGTGGGCGTGAGCTTTGGGAGCGGGGAGGGAGGCAGGTAGGGAGGGAGGGAGGGCCAGCAAGCCGTGGCATCCCCCCAGACGGGGGGCGGCGCTGCTTTCTACAAGTGCCTCTTCTTCAGATGGCAGGTGGGGATGCGGTGGGGTGCGGTAGGTTGGGATGGATGGACAAGTGCTGCCTGCGATCAGCCTGCACAGCAAGCTGAGTGCACTCGCCTCTCTCGACCATGGCAGGTGCACTCGCATCCTCTTTTTTCGCTCTTTTTTCGTAGCAGGTGACTCACTTTGTGAATCAATCCTGTCTCATTCCACCAGCTCTAACTCCCCACCCCTCACCCTCCCCACCTCCCCCTCTTCCCCCCCCCCCCCTCCTCCCCCCCCCCCCCCCGGCACCCCTCTGCCCCTCCTCCCCACCCGCAGCAACAGGACACACTCAACGGTCATGGCGGGCGGCAGCTTGTGAGGCAGCTTGGGCGGCATCCTCACTCGCTAAACGGCGCACGAAACAGCGAGCTGGTTGTGTTCACAGAAATCATTGCAACCTAACTTCATGGCTTCCCTCAACCTTCGCGGTGTCCCTTCATAACGTTTTCCAAATCTATGCCTAGTCAATGTGGAAAACACCAACTGAAAATGAAAAACAACACTATACATGCTTGCTATCATACAAGTGAATGGCTGTACAATACACAAACTGGTACCATGCTAATGAGGCAAATCAGGCCTAAGAAAGCAGACTTCAGCCTATTCTCATCCTAATGGTGCTTGCACCCTAATTGCTCGGGGCTTGCATCCCTTTCTTGTTCTGGCTTTACCGTGAGTGGTACCTTGAGTTTCAGAGAGATATTTTTGTGGAGGAAGCACGCATGTTACAGGCACCATCCGGACGTGCCCAAGCTTGTCCAGAAAAACCCGAATTTGGTTGCGGCGGCACTCGAACGTGGTATATCCGTTGGCAGGGATGATTTTCACGTCCCAGTGGCATTGCGGACTGACGGCAAGAATGTGCTCGCGAGCGTTGATTCCCGTCTGTCAGAATGAACGAGAGTGATTGCACTAGGAAAGTGTTGGGTACATGTAGGAAACCCTAACTTATTGTACCCCATAGTAACTACCCCACTACAGCCTAACCAACTGTAGCAGATATAACATTTGACACACCCCCATAGGCAAAGTGGGGGAGAGCAAGGAGTCACAAGACCAGTCAAGAAAGGTAAAGCAAGCTCATGGTGGATCACAACGTCACCACACACTCTGAGCACAAGCAGAGGGCCACAAGGCCAGTTCACATGCAGAGGCATATATGCAACACAAACAGCACAGTGATCTCTACCTAGCAAAGCAAGCATGCAGGTATATAAATAGATCACAGTACAAGCAAAGCCTACAGCAAGTGAGGAAAAGTGGGCACAAGCCCTAGCATAGTGCGCTGATGATCACCAGACTGAAGTGCCTTGGTGAATATATCAGCAGTGTTGGCCCGAGTGGCCACGTAACGCAGATGAAGCTGACCACGGTGCTGCAACTCTCGAGCCAGGAAGTAACGCAGAGCGATGTGCTTCGTCCTGTGCTCTAGTCTGTGCTCCTCACACAAGGCAATGGTAGCCTTGTTATCGACGTACAGCACTGGAGGAGAACGAGGCCGCTCTCCCAGGTCAGTCAGTAGGTAGGTGAGCCAGCGTAACTCCTGTGCAGCCATGGCTGTGGCGTAGATCTCAGCCTCACAACTGAAGACGAGCGAGTAGAACGCCAAGAAACTGAACCAGAGCCAAGGCTGAAGGTGTAACCCTGTGACGACCGCTGAGTAGCCTGGTCGTCGACCCAAGAAGCGTCTGAATGTCCAGTGAGAACAACTGAACTCCTCCCTCCAAGCACGAGCCCCATGCCTGATGTACTGCACAAGTAGCGCAGTACCCTCTTAGCAGCATCCATGTGCACCTTTCGGTGCCGACCAGGAGCCACGTAGCGAGCCAGAAGGCCAAGAGGGTATGCGAGGTCAGGACGAGTGCAAGTCATCAGGTACATGAGGCAGCCAACTAGCTCTGGGTAAGGACCACTCGGCTCTACGGACTCGTCCGAAGGTGGAGCTGAGAGCGAGTGACCTGTAGCCAGAGGAGTGGCCTGTGCCGAGGACCAGGTGAAGCCGAAGCGCTGAAGGACCTGCTGCACCATGTGTGACTGAGTCAGAGTGATGGTGCGGCGTGCTCTGTCCCGGGTGATCTGCAAGCCAAGGTAGCTGCGCAGTTCACCCAGGTCTGTGCACGTATGTCTCTTTTGCAGCTCCGACTTCACCTGGGCGAGAGCCTCAGTGTCAGCAGAGGCAAAGACCAAGTCGTCGACGTACACGAGGATGTAGAACGGCGGCAGCGAGGTGTCGGTGCGCAGAAACAGCGACGGGTCAGCAGTAGAAGGCGTGAACCCAAGAGCCGCAAGTGTAGTCCTCAGTGTGTCGTGCCACTCACGTAGCGCCTGGCGGAGACCGTAGACCGGCCGCCGGAGGCTCCACTGGGTACCAGGAGGGAACGACCCAGTGAAGCCAGGAGGGCGGCGCAGCCAGATCTCCTCGTGCAGGCTGCCTTGCAAGAAAGCTGTGCTGAAGTCAAGAGACTGAAGCTCGTAGTCACGCTGAGCGGCTATGTGCAGCAGCACCCGAAGAGTGGTCATCTTCGGGGTGGGGGAGAAGGTCTGGAAGAAGTCTACTCCCTCTCGCTGACTGAAGCCTCGAGCAACGTAACGAGCCTTGAAGACAGGCTTCACCCTGAAAATCCACATGCCACTGACGATGTTCGCCCCAGGAGGGGGAACCTCATCGACGTAGGTGCCTGTGGACTTCCAGGATGCCATCTCTGCGTCCATGGCTGACTGCCACTGAGAGGAGTACTCACCCGCGATCGCCTCAGCGTAAGAGCGCGGGGTCGGGATGTCTGGTGCATTCGGGTCTCCCTCAGGGGCAATCAGCATGGACACAAGATGAGGTACAACGGCGGCAAAGCACTCAAACTCCTCCTGCCTGTCCTCAAGGACGTCCGTGCCAAGAGCACACTCACCCCCGACGGACGGAGGACAGACAGACTCAGACTCAGACTCAGCAACAAGACTCGCAGCGTAGTCTAGACGACAGTGAGCAGCAAAGTCGACAAGCTCAGCAACTAAGGCAGACGCAGCGGCTGACTCAAAGGAAGGGTCCGTGACAGCAGTGGCCAGGAGACACGTGACAGTAGGACTAGCAGCACGAAGAGAGTCAGACTCCGGGTCAGCAAGGGCAGGAAGGGAGGACGCAGGAGGAGAAGGCAGAGGGACACGCTGTGGAGCAGTGGAAGGACGAAGCGTCATCTGGTGAGTGCATGGGACAGCAGGAGGACGCTGACGCGGGACACGACGACCAGTGCGAGCAGCACGAACAGGTGACGCAGAACGAGACTCAGGCGACACAGGACGAGACTCAGGCTTACGACGCTCCGTAAGACCTCCTGTCGGACCAGTGTAGGGAGAAGGACCAGGGAGTGGCGAGGCAGGCTATAACTGTGACTGCGACTGGACAGACGGAGGACACTCCAAGGAGGGAGCAGGACAAGGAGGAGGCGGCTGACCAAGAACCTGCTGAAGGAGCGGAACGAAGTACGGCCGCGGCCGTGAAGTGCCCCCAGAACCAGCAGAGACAGCACCAGAACCCCCAGCAGCAGCTCCAACTCCTGCAGCACCAGCAGCAGCTCCAGTAGTACCCCCAATCCCAGCAGCTCCAGTACCACCAGTACGAGCACCTCCAGGACCAGTGGCTCCAGCACCTCCAGCGCTAACCCCAGGGTTAGCAGCTACACCAACTCCAGTAGGCCCAGCGTCCTCAGATCCAGCTCCAGTAGCACCTCCAGCGCCCACAGCACCACGTCGGCGGCGACAGTACCGAGAGTACCACTCACGCAGCTGCTGGGAAGAGAGAGCGCCCCCAGGCGCAGCACCCCCAGGCGCAGGACCTCCAGGCTCAGCACCCCCAGGCACAGCACCCCCAGGCTCAGCACCCGCAGCCTCCACACCCCCAGGCTCAGCACCCGCAGTCTCCGCACCCCCAGGCTCAGCACCCCCAGTCTCCACACCCCCAGGCTCAGCACCCCCAGTCTCAGTACCCCCAGACCGAGCACCACCAGGCTCAGCACGCTCAGGCGCAACATGCTCAATACCTCGCGCAGGACCAGAGTCGACAGCTACCTCGACAGGCTCGACCGGGTCTACCTGGGAAACACCTGAGGGAGCAGGACCCTGGGGAGGTAGGGGGTCTACCGAAGCAGCACCTGGCGTGAGGAAGAGCGGCGGAGGGGGGAGCGGGGCAGTGCGGTAGGGGAAGAGACGGTAAAAGGGGACCGACTCGTCAAACGTGACGTCCTGAGAGGGGAAGACACGGCGCGAGGTGGGGTGGTAAAACTGCCAGCCAGGCGCGTCAGGGACAAAGCCCAGGAAGACACAAGGAACGGCGCGGGAGGAGAGCTTGTCCGCGGACGTATCGCGGACAAAGGCACGAGAACCCCAGACCCGGAACACGGACGCATCGCCAACCTCTCCCGTCCAACGCAGTGTCGGCGAGGTCTCCGGAACGGAGACACGGGGCCAGAGGTTGAGCTGATGCGCGGCGTACTGGACCGCAAACGGTCACAGGAAATGGGGGGCAGCCGCATGGATCAAGGAGGTACGAGCCACCTCCATGACCAAGCCAATGCGGCGCTCAGCAACCCCATTCTTCTGCGGAGAGGCCGGAAGCATGAACGTCTGGCGAATGCCCTCCCCCTGACAGAAGGCCTCCAAGAGGCCGGAGGAGAACTCACCACCTCTGTCAGAGTGCAGTCGCAGACGGGAAGGTCCGTGCGAAAGCGCCTCTCCAGCTGGAGACGGGTAGCGCGGATCCAAGGGATCAAGACAGCAGGGAACTCTCCCTTGGTGCGCAAGGGGAAGACCGTGGTGTAACGCGTGTAGTCGTCAACTACCAGCAGGAAGTTGCGCTCTCCGCTCTGTCCACGGACTCGGGCTGGGCCCCACACGTCCATGTGAAGGGTCTGCAGAGGAGCCTCCGTCGGGGGGAACTCAGAGGAGTGAGGGGTGGCACGCTGCCGCCCCTCAACACAGGGAAGGCAAGGAGGGGCAGGGGACGGTGGCAGGGGAGGCAGTGACCTGGGGAGACCAGAGACAAGGAAACGAGAGTGCATGCCACGAAGGCGTTGCATCGAAGGGTGTCCAAGGCGGTGGTGCCAGAGGACCGTCCGGTGCGACAGGGTGCGACACGAGCAGGGGGCGGACAACTGACCTGACGCAGACGCAGCTACCTGAGGGGACTCAGTGGTCAGTGTGTACAAGTCCGACCCCGGCTGCCGTGTGAAGGTAGCCAGGTGACGACCCATCTGGGCACACGTGCAGTGTGTCACACGCTCGTAGGCAGGGGTGAACTGGTGAACACCCGCGTCCTGGAGCGCGGAACCC